TTTAACAACAGGAAAGGAAATTGAGAATTACATATCCTGTTGTAAATCATCTTTTAAATTAAATAAAAGGAAATAATTGGATACTAGGGCAGAATTCTTGGTAATTTTAAATAGCACGGTAGATTTGAATTTTGATATTCATGTGGAGGAATCTTCTGTTTAACAACAAGAAACGATATTCAGAATTTCATATTCAGTTGTAAATCATCTTTCATATTAAATAAAAGGAATTTTTTGGAATCTTTGCCGGAATTCTTGGTAATTTTAATAACACGATAGATTTGTATTTTGTTATTCCTGAGGAGGAATCTTCTGTTTTACAACAGGAAACGATATTCAGAATTTCATATTCAGTTGTAAATCATCTTTCATATTAAATAAAAGGAATTTTTTGGAATCTTTGCCGGAATTCTTGGTAATTTTAATAACACGATAGATTTGTATTTTGTTATTCCTGAGGAGGAATCTTCTGTTTAACAACAGGAAAAGATATTGAGAATTTCATATCTTTTGTAAATCTTCTTTTACATTAAATAAAAGGAATTACTTCGATTTAAGGGCGGAATTCTGGTAAATTTAAATTGCACTACAGATTTCAAATTTGTTATTCCTGAGGAGGAATCTTCTGTTTTACAACAGGAAACGATATTGAGAATTTCATATTCTTTTGTAAATCATCTTTTACATTAAGTAAAAGGAATTAATTGGATTCTAGGGCGGAATTCTTGGTAATTTTAAATAGCACGATAGATTTGAATTTTGTTATTCCTGAGGAGGAATCTTCAGTTTTACAACAGGAAACGATATTAAGAATTTTATATCCAGTTGTGACTCATCTTTCATTTAAAAAAGGGAATTATTTCGATTCTTGGCCGGAATTCTTTGTAATTTTAAATAACACGATAGATTTGAATTTTATTATTCCTGAGGAGGAATCTTCTGTTTAACAACAGGAAAAGATATTGAGAATTTCATATTCAGTTGGAAATCTTCTTTCAAATTAAATAAAAGGAATGAATTCGATTCTAGGGCGGAATTCTGAGTAATTTTAAATAACACGATAGATTTGAATTTTGTAATTCCTGAGGAGGAATCTTCTGTTTAAAAACAGGCAACGATATTGAGAATTTTATATCCAGTTGTGACTCATCTTTCATTTAAAAAAGAGAATTATTTCGATTCTTGGCCGGAATTCTTGGTAATTTTCAATTATACGATAGATTTGAATTTTGTTATTCCTGAGGAAGAATCATCTGTTTTACAACAGGAAAACATATTGAGAATTTCATATACTGTTGTAAATTATCTTTTACATTATATAAAAGGAATTAATTGGATTCTAGGTCGGAATTCTTGGTAATTTTAAACAGCACGGTAGTTATGAATTTTGTTATTCTTGAGGAGGAATTTTCAGTTTTACTACAGGAAACGATATTGAGAATTTTACATCCACTTGTAAATCATCTTTTCAGTTAAATGAAAGGAATTATTACGATTCAAAGGCGGAATTTTTGGTAAATTTGAAAAACACTATAGATTTGAATTTTGTGATTCTTGAGGAGGAATCTTCAGTTTTACAACAGGAAACGATATTGAGAATTTTATATCCAGTTGTAAATCATCTTTTACAATAAATAAGAGAAATTAATTGGATTCTAGGGCAGAATTCTTGGTAATTTTAAATAGCACGGTAGATTTGAATTTTGATATTCCTGTGGAGGAATCTTCTGTTTAATAACAGGAAACGATATTGAGAATTTCATATCCTTTTGTAAATCATCTTTTACATTAAGTAAAAGGAATTAATTGGATTCTAGGGCGGAATTCTTGGTAATTTTAAATAGCACGATAGATTTGAATTTTGTTATTCCTGAGGAGGAATCTTCAGTTTTACAACAGGATACGATATTGGGAATTTTATATCCAGTTGTGACTCATCTTTCATTTAAAAAAGGGAATTATTTCGATTTATGGGCGGAATTCTTGGTAATTTCAAATAACACGACAGATTTAAATTTTGTTATTCCTTAGGAGGAATCTTCTGTTTAACAACAGGAAAGGAAATTGAGAATTTCATATCCTGTTGTAAATCATCTTTTACAATAAATAAAAGAAATTAATTGGATTCTAGGGCAGAATTCTTGGTAATTTTAAATAGCACGGTAGATTTGAATTTTGTTATTCCTAAGGAGGCATCTTCTGTTTAACAACAGGAAACGATAATGAGAATTTCATATCCAGTTGTAAATCTTCTTTCAAATTAAATAAAAGGAATGAATTCGATTCTATGGCGGAATTCTGAGTAATTGAAAATAGCACGATAGATTTGAATTTATTTATTTCTGAGGAAGAATCGTCTGATTTACAACAGGAAATGATATTAAGAATTTTATATCCAGTTGTGAATCATCTTTCATTTAAAAAAAGGAATTATTTCGATTCATGGACGGAATTCTTGGTAATTTTAAATAACACGATAGATTTGAATTTTAATTTCCGGAGGAGGAATTTTCTCTTTAACAACAGGAAACGATTATATGAATTTCATATCCAGTTGTACATCTTCTTTCATATTAAATTAAAGGAATTTTTTCGAATCTTTGCTGGAATTCTTGGTAATTTTAAATAGCACCATAGATTTGAATTTTGTTATTCCTAAAGAGGAATCTTCTCTTTAAAAACAGGAAACGATTATATGAATTTCATATCCAGTTGTAAATCTTCTTTCAAATTGAATAAAGGAATGAATTCGATTCTAGGGCGGAATTCTGAGTAATTGAAAATAGCACGATAGATTTGAATTTCTTTATTTCCGAGGAAGAATCTTCTGATTTACAACAGGAAATAGAATTAAGAATTTTATTTTCAGTTGTGAATCATCTTTCTTTTAAAAAAAGGAATTATTTCGATTCATAGACGGAATTCTTGGGAATTTTAAATAACACGATAGATATGAATTTTAATTTCCTAAAGAGGAATCTTCTCTTTAAAAACAGGAAACGATTATATGAATTTCATATCCAGTTGTAAATCTTCTTTCAAATTAAATAAAAGGAATGAATTCGATTCTAGGGCGGAATTCTGAGTAATTGAAAATAGCACGATAGATTTGAATTTCTTTATTTCCGAGGAAGAATCTTCTGATTTACAACAGGAAATGGAATTAAGAATTTTATTTTCAGTTGTGAATCATCTTTCATTTAAAAAAAGGAATTATTTTGATTCTTGGCCGGAATTCTTGGTAATTTTAAATAACACGGTAGATTTGAATGTTGTTATTCTTGAGGAGGAATCTTCTGTTTAACAACAGGAAACGATAATGAGAATTTTATATCCAGTTGTATATCATCTTTCATATTAAATAAAAGGAATTAATTCAATTTTTGGCCGGAATTCTTAGTTATTTTAAATAACACGATAGATTTGAATTTTGTTATTCCTGAGGAGGAATCTTCTGTTATACAACAGGAAAAGATATTGAGAATTTCATATCCTTTTGCAAATCTTCTTTTACATTAAATAAAAGGAATTATTTCGATTTAAAGGCGGAATTCTGGTAAATTTAAATTGCTCTATAGATTTGAATTTTGTTATTCCTGAAGAGGAATCTTCTGTTTTACAACAGGAAACGATATTAAGAATTTTATATCTAGTTGTAAATCATCTTTCATATTAAATAAAAGGAATTTTTTCGAATCTAGGGCGGATTTCTTTTTGGTTTTAAATGGTACGAAAGATTAGAATTTTGATATTCCTTAGGAGAAATCTTCTGTTTAACAACAGGTAACGATATTGAGAGTTTTATATCCTGTATTAAATCATCTTTCATATTTAATAAAAGGAATTTTTTCGATTCTTGGCCGGAATTCTTGGTAATTTTAAATATCACTATAGATTTGAATTTTGTAATTCCTGAGGAGGAATCTTCTGTTTAACAACAGGCAACGGTTATAAGAATTTCATATCCACTTGTAAATCATCTTTCTCATTAAATAAAAGGTATTATTTCGATTTAAGGGTGGAATTATGGGTAAATTTAAATTGCACTATAGGTTTTAATTTTGTTATTACAGAGGAGGAATCTTTAGTTTTACATCAGGAAACGATATTGAGAATTTCATATCGAGTTGTAAATCATCTTTCATATTAATTAAAAGCAATTTTGCCGAATCTGGAGCGGGTTTCTTCTAAGTTTTATATAGCATGGAAGATTAAAATTTTGTTATTTCGGTGGATAAATTATCAGTTGTACAACAAGCAACGATAGTGAGTATCATCATATTTTTAAATTATCTAATATGTGTAATGTAGATATTATTTTTTAATTATTATAGTTGCAATTTGTAATTTGTCATTAGCAATTTTAAATATTTGATTTGAAAATTAAATTAGATTTTGACAACTTTCAGAATTATATTTTCATTAATCATGTGGTTAAATATAATTTAAATTTTGTGATATTTTTAATAAATTTTATTAAATTTATTGAATTATTGAATTTAATTTTTCTAAATTTTATTGTTATGGATAACTAAAGAATTTAGAAGAAATTTATTTATGTTTGATTGTTAACACTACACTTAAATTTTACCTATTATTACCTGTTACTTTAATAAATTTAAAACCTACATTCTTTGTAAATATGTAATAAATGACTTATAATATTTCATGCTTACAAATTTTATTTTATTTGGGTTTTTTAATTTATTTTTGGACAATATTGCTAATTTAAAAATAAATGGTATTGTCAAAAAATAAAACTTTTAAATGACAGAAAAAATAGCTTGTATCAACGTCAGTTGTAAAAAGTTTGAAGTTTACCGGTCTCTCCACTGAATGTTAATAAAAGAGTCAAAAGTTCTTTTATTTAATATTTATTTATTTTTCTTAAATGTTTAAAACATATACTTTTTAATTATAGAATTATAAAATTTGAAAAATTAATATTTTTTTTAATAATTATTATTATTATTATTGTGAAAGATGGAGATGGTTTGGATCTAGATTTTTAAGAATGTTCGTAATTACGGTATGATCGCGATCGAGATGTCGAGTTAGATTTATAACTATGTTCCCGATTACGGTATGATCGCGATTGTCTTGGTTCGTTGCGTAGTTCATTATGGCGGTATGATCGTGATGCAGATCTAGATCTGGATTTATAACGTCGTTTTTGATTGTATGGTTGATATGACCGCGATTGCGATCTGGTTTTGTAATGTGGTTGTTGTTTTCGATGTGGTGATCTCGATGACCGGATAGATCGTGATCTTGGTCTCGATCTAGATTCATTACGTCGTTCTTGATTGAATGATTGATATGATCGCGATCTCGATCTGGGTTCGTAACGCCGTTGTTGATTGTGATGTGGTGGTGATCTCGATGACCGGATGGATCTTGTTCTTGGTCCTGTTCTAGATTCATAACGTCGTTCTTGATTTAATGATTGATATGACCGCGATCGCGATCTGGGTTCGTAACGCCGTTGTTGATTGTGATGTGGTGGTGATCTCGATGACCGGATGGATCGTGATGTTGGTCTTGATCTAGATTCATAACGTGGTTCTTGATTTAATGATTGATATGACCGCGATCGCGATCTGGTTTCGTAACGCCGTTGTTGATTGTGATGTGGTGATCTCGATAACCGGATAGATTCTGATCTTGGTTCATAATGCGTTTGCTGATTGCGATTTAGTGGTGATCGTGATGCAGACGGCAATCCGGAATTTGGGCCCTGTCTGCGTAGCATATGATTTTCCCAATTCATTTCTTGTAAGACTCTTCTATGTACAATATTATATCTTCGAGATCGTTCAGTAATTTTAAAATTATTCTTCGTTGTATCTAAAAATACATTTTCATATTAATTAATAATTGTTTAAATATATATACACATAAAATTAGAATAATGGTAAATTAGCCATTAAAATCATATATAATACCACAACAAATGAGCCCTATATGAAGTATTTTCGATTAGTGAATTTTTATTGAAGAAATAATAAACATTGAAATTATTTTTTAAAAATCCAATATTTGAAAATATTTCATATAGAGCTCATTGGATATGGAATTGCATAAGCTTTAAATTGGTAAGTTAGGAATTACTCTAATTTTATTTGTTTGTAAAATATTTTATTTATTATTAAATTTTTTCTTTCGAAAGAGCAAAAAAAAATTTTTTTGAAAATATATACATAGGTTATCCTATGTTATTTTTTATCCTTTTATATGATAATGATATTTCAAAGAATCCTGTGTTAACATTTTTGGGATTGGATTACTTGAAAAATGTTTACTCATAAATTAATTGTTTATATAATACATATTTTAAAAACGTCATATATTTGTTACACTTATTTAGATCAAGTTTAAATCAAAAGTATTGACCTCACACTACTGTCGTCAATTGTGCGACTTCTATTTTTTCGATGAATAAAAACGGTCTAAATCTTAAAAATATAAAAACTAAAATTTTCTCCTTTTAATATTACACAAACCAATAAAATTTATAAAGAAATGGCACCTTGACAAATAGAATACGTTAATTTTTTATTTAGATATCTAAGCATCTAAGCATACACTAGGAAAGAACGAGTACATGAATTATTTTAAATGATTTAAGTTTCATAACAAAATACCATTTCAATGAGTCCAAAAACGTCAAAAAATATTCATTTTTCCAGAGAAATTAAATAAATATTAAAAACACTAATAATTGGTTTTTCTATATTCAATTGGAAAATTAAAGTATGTTCTTGGTCAAGAAGTCAACTATTTTAGAATTTGATTTGTGTTCAGAAAAATACAAAAATTTAATATTAATAATTTTAAAGATTTAAGCCGTTTTAAAGTCGTCGAAAAAGCAGAGGTCACAAAATTCCCAACGGTAGTGTACAAGAAAATACAACAAATATAAGGTAATAATTTTATTATTTTAAAAATGAATGGCATCTTACTTATGACAATATGAGGATAGAATATGTTAAGTTCTAAAGAAATTTTTAAAATCTTAAAAAATGTTTGTGCTACACAGGCATGGAATACATTAAGCATGTTACTTGTAAAAATGCCTTCTAAAAAAATATTAAACAATTCATTACGTTACTTTTCAATAGCTAAAGTGAAAGAATTTACTTTCTTCTAGAAACAAAAAAAGCACTGACAATTACCTTTTTCAATTTCAATAGTTGGTGTATTTGGTGGAAGGACTATTAAGGCTGAGTTCGTCTTTTGTGAATTTTTTGTTTTCGAAGAAATTTCTTTTTCGTGAAAAATGTCTTTCTTGAGAAGAGTTTTATCTTGTTGAAAAGTTTTTTCTATAAAAAAATTTTTCTTTTTTTGTGAAGTCTCTTCTTTTAGTAAAGATTTGCTTTTTAAATGCGCGTCTTCTTTATAAATATTTTCTTTTTTCATTGAATGTTTTTCTGTGTCAGATTTTCTTAGCTGAATCTTTGGAGACAAGGAGATCTTTGTATTTCCTCTAAATCGTAGATCTATTTTTTAATAAAAAATATTAAATATTATAAAATTAATACCTTTAGTTTTTTGGAAATAATTAAATTTCATGAGATTTTGAATAGAAAGTTTTGGTAATTTTATTTGCTGAAGTTGTTTTTTTTTAGAAAGGAGAATATTACTAATACCTGTGTGATGGTATTTCATAATCGGTGGTACGTAAGCTAAGTCTTCCTCCTCATCACTCTTGTCTGATTTATCTAAACACATTTAAATATTTTAAAATAAAATATAAATTTTTAATAAATTTTTTTTTATTTAACAGAATTTGCAATTAACCAAATGTTAATATGAATAGAGAAAATTATTTTTTGCGAACTGACGAACTATTATATTAAACTGGTTGAACTGAATAAAACGATGTTACAAAAATATGACTTTTTTATTTTTAAGCAAGTCAAACCTCGTATTACAATACTTTTGTTTACTACTAAAAATTGGTCGTACGTATGTGAAAATTTGGTTAAATAAGCATTTCGTGCAATGAAAGATCTATTTTACAAAGACTTATGCAATGGTTTTTAAGATTTAAGCCGTTTTGAAGTCGTCGAAAAAGCAGAGGTCACAAAATTCCCAATGGTAGTGTACAAGAAAATACAACAAATATAAAGTAATAATTTTATTATTTTAAAAATGAATGGCATCTTACTTATGACAATATGAGGATAGAATATGTTAAGTTGTAAAGAAATTTTTAAAATCTTAAAAACTGTTTGTGCTACACAGGCATGGAATACATTAAGCATGTTACTTGTAAAAATGCCTTCCTATAAATATTAAACAATTGATTACGTTACTTTTCAATAGCTAAAGTGAAAAATGTCTTCTAACAAGAGTATTAAAAATTCATTACGTTACTTTTCAATAGCTAAAGTGAAAGAATTTACTTTCTTCTAGAAACAAAAAAAGCACTGACAATTACCTTTTTCAATTTCAATAGTTGGTGTATTTGGTGGGAGGACTATTAAGGCTGAGTTCGTCTTTTGTGGATTTTTTGTTTTCGGAGAAATTTCTTTTTCGTACAAATTGTCTTTCTTGAGAAGAGTTTTATCTTGTTGAGAAGTTTTTTCTATAAGAAAATTATAATTAAATTTCATGAGATTTTGAATAGAAAGTTTTGGTAATTTTATTTGCTGAAGTTGTTTTTTTATAAAGGAGAATATTACTAATACCTGTGTGATGGTATTTAATAATCGGTGGTACGTAAGATAAGTCTTCCTCCTCATCACTCTTGTCTGATTTATCTAAACACATTTAAATATTTTAAAATAAAATATAAATTTTCAATAAATTTTTTTTCATTTAACAGAATTTGCAATTAACCAAATATTATTTTGAATAGAGAAAATTATTTTTTGCGAACTGACGAACTATTATATTGAACTGGTTGAACTGAATAAAACGATGTTTCAAAAATATGACTTTTTTATTTTTAAGCAAGTCAAACCACGTATTACAATACTTTTGTTTACTACTAAAAATTGGTCGTACGTATGTGAAAATTTGGTTAAATAAGCATTTCGTGCAATGAAAGATCTATTTTATAAAGACTTATGCAGATACAGTTTATGCGATTACAATTATCTTAATTTGAAGTTAATATACTACCTGATTGTGAATCGTGAGCAGATGGAGTTTGTAAGTGTATAAATTCCACTGTAGAAGAGAAATAATTTTATTAATAAGAACTGCAATTTTTGCATTTTATTTTATTAAAAGTTTTTTTTAAATCCTTTAACAGTTAATAATTAAAGTTTTCATATTCGTTTATAACAGTAATATTCTCAAAGTGTAAAAAATAAAAGAATTTAATTTTCCAACAATATATGTTTACGTATTTTCAGTTTATGATTTTAAAATTTCAATTCTATTAGATTGTTATAATGATGAACATTTATGTCGATGTAACGCAAAACTTTATTTATTATAACTAAATTGCTATAAAAATGTTTGAATCTAATATTTGAAACATAATTTGAATACAAAGCTTCCTCATAAAGATGGAATAAAATTGACGAATTTAATATGCTAACGACGTCAATGAAGTTGAATACTCTGAAGTAATATTTATGAAATTATTGAGAATTAATATTATAAAAAAAAATTAAAATTATTTCTTTAATATACATCTATATAGAAATTGACACTAATAAAAATACTGATTCTCTAAATTGAAACCTTCTTATAATTTTAACTTTGTTCATTTTTAATTTTTTTTTAAATATTTTATATGCACGGAAAATTTCTTGGGCGAGCTGCTGTACCTGTGGGTAGGTACAGCAGACGTCTCTACTGACTTTACACCACTACTGTGGGATAGCTGCTCGCACACAACGGGAGAGAATTCTTCTCACATTGATTCTGCAGGGTGACTATAGTTTTGAATATTATTTATTATTAAAAAATTATTATTAACATTACCGCTTGAATTTTCCTCACTGTCGTCTGTAATAACGATTTTACCTTCATCTTTAATTTCCAATTCTTTATTTTTCTTCAACTTCTTCTTGATTTTATCGGTAAACTCTGTTAATATTAAAAAATAAATTTAATAAAATAAATAATCTGTTTTATGATAATTTTCAAAAATTAGTATTAATATTACCGCTTGAATTTTCATCACTGTCGTCTGTATTAACGATTTTACTTTCATCCTCAATTTCCAATTCTTTATTGTCCTTCAACTTCTTGTTAATTTTATCGGTAAACTCTGTTAATATTAAAAAATAAATTTAATAAAATAAATCATCTGTTTTATGATAATTTTCAAAAATTGTAAGCAATTATTAATAACTCGAAATGTTTAATATAAAATTTATTTATTTTTACAATAATCCTTGAAGGTTCAATATTTAGATAATGAATTTTTTTATTTAATTATTTTTTGAAAGAGATTGAAAATAAGGTATATTATTTTAAATTAATAAATTGATAAAAAAATCATTCTTTTTACAATGCTATTTTCATAAACCTTTTAGACAAAATACTATAGTTTTTGAAAGGAAAATTTACGAATTTGATACTTGACGAATTTGATACGATAAAAATCGGAATAAATGGATACATAATAAAAAATACATCTGATTGTATTAGAAAAAAAATTATATTAGTTATTTCAAAATAATTATTAAAAAAGTGAAAGAACACAGAAAACAAAGCAATACCTGATAAAAACTAGATTAATTTAAATTGTACAGACTAAGACAGGAAACTCGTGTAAATGCACGTTTTTTCAAGCTTTTTTTTACAAAAAAATAGTAAAGTTTTTTGAATTGAAATAAAGTATACCTTAAAGTTTACAATAAAAGCTATGTATAATAATTATTTTAATTAAAAATATTGCAAAATGGCGGAATTTCAGGCGTTGAAAGCTTGGCCTTTAGTTTTGCTCCGTGCCTCCTACAGGCCTCAAATCTCAACCAGCATTGCACGGTGCGCGAAAAAACAAATTTTGAGACAAACGCGATTAAAGTTTTCGATACAAAAAAATAGTGTTTTAACTATTACCTTGAAAACATTATGTGTTCAAAAGTAACTATTACAATAAAACCAAGATTTACTATCACTTGCTAACAGTGCTTGCTACTGACAATTAATAAAATTGTATTGACAGAAAAAGCAAAAGGATAGAGGGATCTCGTCTGCATTGTTAACTGCATTTCGTAGCATTTGAAGTGATACACTTCAAATCATATTTTATAGGTAGTAAACTAATTTTTAAAGAAAGAAAAAAAATTATAACAAATTTTTTTTTACACGAGATTTTCCCCTTAAAATTTTTAAAATGAGCCAATATTAAATCCTTGATTATTTCAACAATAAATAACATTTTTGAAAATTATTTTAAAAAGTAAAAATGTAATTACTAGATATTATATAAGTAAAAAGAATATAAAAATCAAAGTCGTCATTTTGCATTGCAAAAGAAAATGATTTTGATCATTACCATTTGAGTCATCTTCGTTTTCAAATGAAATTTTGTTCGCGTCACCCTTATCCTCGATTTCTCCTTCTTTTTCGCTTTCAAGAAAAACTGTATGAAAGGCATTATTATCTATAATTTCTTCTTCTTTTTCGCTTTCAAGCGAAATTATGTTTTTATTATTCTTATCCTTTATTCCTCTATTTCTAATGTTCTTATTTCTACTACTATTCTTTGGCTTCTTTTTAGTTTCGCAGTCCTCGAATGCTATTGAACAATTAACTTTCTTAGAAAAAGTAAATCTTTCTAATCTAAAGAAATATATTTACTAAATAAATATTTTTTACTTTTGATAATAAAAAATTATTTATTAAAATAAAACTTTACTGAAATCTTTATTGTGTATCAATAAACATTTTATTCAGAGGAAGTTTGTCCTCAGAGAAAATTCCCTAGATAAACGAAGCGTTTGAAAAATATAAAGCCCTGTTGTAACACTGAGCAACAAGAAAATTAATAACTTTTTTCAAATTAAAAAATTAAGAATTATTATTAAAGATCATTTAAAGGATAGTTTATACTATAACCCCTGTAAATTGTATGCAAAAATATTCAGAACTTTTCATTTTAGAACGAATTAAAGTGAAAATTTTAATTAAAAGTGATTTTATGAAAAATTAATTTTTTGCTTTTTTCTCAAAAAATTGTTACAAATACATTGGAATCTGGATCCGTGAGGTTTATTTACTTAGTTTGTGGGCGAGGAAAGGTGGGAGGCGTAGAGGAGATTAAGTGTCGACCAATCCCGTGAGCGAACGACCCGCTTGATCAGTGAAAAGCCATCCCCGAAAAGTCTCACCGATCCAGATTCCAGTGTACAAAAAAATTTATGATAAGAAAAAAGAGGCGCAAGGAAATTTCCTACAAGATAGTAATTTGAAAAAATTTATTTTTAAGTTACCAGGGGCCAACGAATACCGTTATAGAAATTTTGTTGTTTTGTTTTATATCTGGCGGCTCATATGACAG